AAGACATGGTAGAAACTTAAATGCATATTACTAAGTGAAAGAAGGCAATCAAAGAAAACTACATACTCTATGATGCCCACTACATGACATTCTGAAGCAAAACTATGGACACAGTTAAAAGATCAGTAGTTGCCAGGGGTTGTTGTGGGATGGGAGAAATGAACAGAAAGAGCACAGAGGACTTATAGTGCAGTGAAACTATGTGTATGATATTATAATGATGTATATCCTTATATGTGTGTCTAAACCAATATAAAGTACAACAACACCAAGAATGAGCCCTAAGGCAAACTATGGATTTGGAGTAATTAGTATGTGTCAATGTAAGTTCATCCCTGGTAAAAAGTATACTGTTCTGGTGAAGGATCCTGGTAATGGAAGAGGCTTTGCTTTTGTGGGGCAAGGAATATATGAAAAATCTCTGTAGTTCCCTCTTATATTCTAAACCAAATACTGCTCTAAAAAATTTAAGCCTTAAAAAATTTTTATATTTATCTTTTTTTAAGTTTTTTTTTTTTTTTTTTTTTTTTAAAAGAGAGAGACACAGCAAGAGAGGAAACACAAGCAAGGGTAGTGGGAGAGGGAGAAGCAGGCTTCCCGCCGAGTAGGGAGCCCGATGCGGGGCTCGATCCCAGGACCCCAGGACTATGACCCGAGCCGAAGGCAGAAACCTAACACTGAGCCACCCAGGCGCCCTAAGTCTTAAAAAATTTTTAAAAACTTAAAGAGAAACAAACTTCCAAAATTATTACCAAAATACAAGTTTCACTATTCTGGTTCTTTAACAATAATAACTACCAAAAAAAGGAACTGAGGAATGATCCCACATTACTAGAAATGTGTAATGGTATTTAAGCCAACATCTTCTGACTCAGTTATTTTGCATCACTTCCTGAAGTCATGGACAGACCAACCATGTAGAGGGACTCTTGTTAGGCACTCTATTAGGGGTATACAGGTCTTTTGTAATGAGTTTGTGCTCATCCCTGAAACTCTATTCTGCTAGAATTCAAATTCCTAGGTCAAAATTAGTGGACATTCTTAATGGTTTTGATTTAGAGCCTTCAAATTTTTTCAATAAATATACTTCTTAATACTCTTAGTATTAAGTAAAATTTTGACTAAGTAATTTCCCAAACACGTATTATTCCTGCATATTACTGTTTTAAACATTACATTCACTGACTTGATAGGGCTAACATTTATTTACTCTTTTTGTGTTTGCCGTATGTTGTGATAGCCACAGAGACCCATTGTGCTTGGGGTTTCAAAGAATTTGCTTAAGAGTACAGTTAGCTAACATCTTCCAGCTGAATGATCTTTAGGATGAGTTTGTTTGTTTTTTTTAGATTTTATTTATTTATTTGTCGGGGGGGGGGAGAGAGCACAAGCAGGGAGAGCAGCAGACAGAGGGAGAAGCAGGCTCCCTGCTGAGCAAGGAGCCCGTCACGGGACTCCATCAGAGGTTACTGGGATCATGACCTGAGCCAAAGGCAGACACTTAACCGACTCAGCCACCCAGAGATCCCTGGGATTATTTTTAGTATTCAAGCTGAGAGCTACTCCTCCCAGGCACATTGGAGCCGATGAGTGAGCACTGCAAGACTGTATTAAAGCCCGGCCATGTACATAAAAAATGGGACATCTTTTAAGAGAAATCTTTGCTCCAGGGATCCCCATGGGTTTGGCCTAGATGCTGTCAAATATGCATTGCCTTATCTAGCTTCCTCCCCTCTTAACTTGCATGGCTATCAGATCTGTATCACAGTATGATGGATTTCCCCGCCTAATCCTGTTGCATGCCTCTTAGGGACTGGTTGTTTATGTCCCTCCCAAAATTCATAGGTTGAATGTAATCCCCAATGTGATGGTAGTTGGGGGCAGTGGCTTTAATAGGCAATGTGATCATGAGAGTAAAGCCCTCAAAAACAGTATTAATGCTCATATTCAAAAAGCCAGCTAGCTCACTCTCTTTCCACACGGATATAAAAAGCCAGCCCTCTGCAATCCAGAAGGCAGCACTCACTGGAATTCTACCATGCAGGCACCCTGAGCTCAGACTTCTAGCCGCAAGAGCTGTGAGAAACAAATTTCTGTTTCTTATAAGCCACCCAGTTTAAGGTATTTTGTTATAGCAGCCAGAACTAAGACAGTGCTTCTTCTACCTTTTATAGTCCCTACCCGCTAAGCCACTTCTTCTCCTGTCTCAGTGTCTTCCAGAGGACACAGTAACTGATACACGTCTTTTGGTCACCAGAAAGTGTATTCACTTTCCATTTGCTCACAAAACAAAAAACCCAAATGCTCCCTGGTCTTTGCATTTTTTTTCTATATTTTTCTAATATAAAAAATTTTTAAAGTGTTCTTAATCTGTTTCTGTGTAACACTTATGCCCTTCTCTACCACAAACACACACACACACACACACATTCATACGAGTCTCAAAAAAAATTTTTTTTTAAAGAGAGAAAAGGCCTCACAGATAGAGTCAAGTTTAGAATCTTTAGGAACAATTTACACTCTGTTTCCATTTGAACACACTCAAGTGTAATTATGGAGGCATTTATACAAAAATATTTATATTTCACTTGTACATATTTATGTTGCAAGAAAATAACTTAGGCTGATTATTGATTATTGAATTTAGCCTCTATTTCCTTCAGCATTGTGTCTGCTTTAAAAATCACAACTTGACTCTACCAATATTTATTAAACAATCACTATATACATTCTTCAAGTATCATTTCTCCCCATTACATTTCCCACAATAGTATCAGAATACACTTTCTAAAATATAAACCAGATAATTTTGTATCTTTCAAATTAGAATGATAAAGCTAAAATAAATGTATGTTGAGACAGAGACTCATTATGCTGGGTAAAATGCAAATATTATGTTGCTGACATTTGATTAAGCAAAGGGCGATATATGTCAGTGAGACTTAAAAGTACCCAAATCCTCTGACTTAGTAGGGGGATTTTATTATCTATACCTCATAGCAATTTATTCTTGATATATAAATTATTTAAATGGTATCACCATGCTTCCTTGTGTTTATATTGAAAGCAAAAATTTGTCTTCCAAAATGAGTTGTGGGATACTTGCAGGCTGACATTAGCCTTTGTGAATTTTTCTCCTTTTATTTAATTCAATGCCTGGCACACAGTGAATGCTGAATTAATTTTTGCTGGATTACACTGGGCTTGGTGAACAAAAAGATCCAAGTGAACAAACAGGCAAAGAGCAAAGGAGAAAATGATTTAACTCCACTTAAGCAATCAACAATTTCTGTTTTACAGAAGCCCCTATACCATAGTTATTACCTAGGGAAAGTGAAATTCAAAGATGGCTTTGAAATTAAGGACCAGGGTATGAGTCCCAGTTCTGTTCCCAACTCTGTCACTGTGACTTTGGCTGAAAGGACATCTCCAGACTTCTCTCTCTCTCTCTTTCAGCTCAGTACCTTCTCTACCACTTCCCCTAGGGTCATCAAGGAGCCCAAATGAGATGAAGTTTATGAGAGACTTCCTTCTTCACCAAGGAAGAATATGTAATTATGCCCCTAATTAATGTGTTTTAGAAGAGTTCTTTCCTGTTCCTAAATCTAAATTCAATTTTAAGCCATGACCTATTTATATATAAATGTACTTTTTCTCACTTCTAAATGCATGAGGATTTTGCTGTTTGAATTTAAAAAAAAAAGCAAAGAGAGGCTTTAAATTTTTAATTTAATTAATAATTGACTTAATGGTAAGACATGGAAATTTATCTCAATAATACTGAAAACTCATGAACTGAAGAAATTATATTGTATGTGTATGAAGCCGTATACTGAATTTTTCAATTTGGAAATTTGCAGACCAAACCACAGATACAAAATAAAAACTCACACAAAAGATAATGTTATCTGTAATATTTTTTATATGTGCTACCAAAAATCCCACAGAATTATAAAATGTCTGACAAAGTGGCCTTACTCTTTTTTTTTTTTTTTTGGCCTTACTCTCTTAATACATTGTTAAAATTAAACAATAGGAAGACATATCTTCAGTTGCAAAAACTATAATTTTATGAAATTATTTTCCTAATCAGTAAAAAAAAAAAAAAGTTTTGTTTTATAAAAATAACTTAATGATTTCTAAAGTCTGTACCACGAGATTCAGGATATTGGCTGGCTTTAATATTGACAATACTACTACTACTATTACTACTATCTTCATAAAGAACTCTAGTGGGGGGCGCCTGGGTGGCTCAGTTGGTTAAGCGACTGCCTTCGGCTCAGGTCATGATCCTGGAGTCCCTGGATTGAGTTCCGCATCGGGCTCCCTGCTCGGCAGGGAGTCTGCTTCTCCCTCTGACCCTCCCCCCTCTCATGTGCTCTGTCTCTCATTCTCTCTCTCTCGCAAATAAATAAATAAAATCTTCAAAAAAAAAAAAAAGAACTCTAGTGGGTAAACATCAGGATCCTGATTTATAAATAAGGAATCTAACAGCAAATCTAGTGATATCTATCCACTGAATGATTACCACATGTCATGCACTATATGGTTGATGTTCATTACTTGATTGATCTTCATCATAACACTAGTAAGTAGATTCCATACCCAGTTTATAGATAGGGGAGTTGAAACTTAAAAAGATTTATAAATGTTACTTGCCAAGCATCACACATCCAATAAGTGACCAACTTTATTCTTAAATCTGGTATTTCAGCGTGCCTGATGTATAAGCACATTTTTCCCCCCAGGATGAAAAATTGTACCAGGCCATCTGTTAAACAGGTGATATTCGACAAAGGGTCTGCAATTTGTTTTAATCAGTATCAAAATGATTGTTGGGCTTGCCATGTGCCACACACTGCACAGAAATAACACATTCAAATATTATTGATACATGCAGTGAAGTACTTAACCATAACATTTCATAATCCAAATCCCAAGAAAAGTGTTTCCCTGAAGCAATAACATGGTAAATAGAATTCAAAATTTAGGCCACAAACCTGTCTCAGGCTCAATGGAAAAATAAGGCTGCCCTTCCAAGATACTATAAACCAACTTTGCACTGTTTCCATAAACTGGGTCATCAGCATCAGTAGCTGTTACATTAGTGACAGACGTACCTAAAAAAAGAAAAAAAGAAAAAAAGAAAAAAGAAAAAGAGGGAGAGAAAAAGATAATAATTAATATAGTATTCTTTGCCAAGAGCTAAATTTTGCCAAGCATATCATACAAATCCATGTGTGGGAATAAAGAAAAAAGAAATCTCTTCAAAAATATGGAGATAAACTACTCTGTCATAACTTGAAAAATATCTAAGTCTTTTAAAAGAAGAGTACTGCTAGGTTGGAGTACTATATAAAGATAACCCTTTTAGAATCTATATTACTTAAGAATCCTTTGTAGTTTTCATTTTAAAGATACCTATCTCAGATTCATATGGGCTTGGAGAATATGAAAAGGAAACATATCAAAGAAACATGAAACACTAGGTTAATAATATGATATAATATGTAGCATTTAAGTTTTGCCGCAGTACAACTGAATATACCTGAAAAAAAAAGCTGCACAAAATATATCAGAGGAATATTTTATCCATTTCATCTAATTCCTCAGAATATAAAATTAGATTGGAACCACCAATTAATCAGTATGTTTAGGTAATTAGACCTTATGGATAACAGAATCAAACCTTTTTTTTTTTCCAGATTCATTTTCTATTTGCTATTCACTCATTCGTTCAGCAATTGAGCACAAATAGCTTGCCTGATGTGAAGTATATATACTAAGATAAAATCTACATTTAGGAGGTGTACAGTTGGGTGGTGGAAGGTTAGAGGAGGGGACAGACACACATTCATACAGAAATTCAGCTGAATGCAACAGCACCACGTTTGGATCTCTCACTTACTCCAGAGAGGGGGGGTCAGGGACCGCTTCCTGAGAGACATTGCATTTGAGTTACATTATTAAAGACAGGTAGAGTTTAACCAGGAGAAGGACAGGGAAGGAATTCCAAGCAGTAAATCAAGCATAAGTAAAGGCAAAGTAGTCTGAGAGACTCTGTGAAATTCTGGGAACTGCTGAAACTGGGAGAAATTGGAGATGTCTGGTGTGGTAACAGGCTTCAAGGTCTGTGAGGGCAGAGTCAGTGTCCTTCATCCAGTGTCAGACACATAATAATTATCAAACATACTGACAACTGAATGAATGGGCACATGAATAATCTAATGATTCAATGAGAAATGTGTCAGAGATGGAGTTCCCTAGCAAGTAGACGCTGAGATAGATTTTTTGCAGAATTTTTATTGGGGAGTTCTCTTCCATTGATATCTGTGGGGGAGTGAACAGGTCAATATTGGGCAGAAGGAACTGTGGGGTGTGATGCATTCACAGACTCCACTGGACAATCTACCACTGGGATGGTCACTGAGGAAATGGGGCCAGACCTTTAGATCCAGTACTGACCAGTTATTGGATGTAGGAACCCCTCTGAGAATGGAGCCTTGGCCTTCAGCCAGGCAGCTCTCAGCTGGATGATCATCAGCCCTGAGAAGCCAACAATCAGCACTCTCAAGCAGCATGGGGGAAGAGTGTTTTCAACCTGAAGGGCATGGAGGTGGGGGGTCTGAGCAGCAGACCTCCCTTTTTACTGAAATAGGATAGAGCTTTTGCAAGATTGTGCCAATCAAAATACTTTCAAGGGTTTGAATTATGGTCACTGTATAGGAAAATGTAGTAATAATGTTTGTTGAGCAGTTGATAGTCCTGTAAAATTGGTAATTTCTATTCAGAAGGATGATTCAGAGATTCTACAAAATCTACAGTTAGAAGGAAGAAAAAGCACCTAATGTTGGTTGTATAATACATTCCACATTCCACCAGACACTGGGAACAATGTCAAAGAAAAAAATAATAAGACTCACTCTCACAAATAGCTCATCAACTAGCTGGTAGAGATGCACACAGGAGAGTACAATATTTGGAGTTATTTGAATATCATGTGGGATGGAGAAGAATTGGAGGAAAACCTTCCAGGTAAGAGGAAAAAAGGGAAATAAATTTTAAGAGGAAATAATGACTGGAAAAATCAATCATCAAGCTAACTTTGGAGATGTAAGCTGGAGCACGAAATGCAGGGGTCATTTGAATCCCAAGATGGGGAGTGCTGGCTTATCCTGTAGGAAACAGAGACAATTTTTCAGTTAGAGACCAAACCCAGCATGCTATGGGCTTCTCCTCTATCATTGCCCCCAGATTTAATTGGAGGCAGAGACGTTGAATGTTAGGAGATCAGGCTGTTACGAGGTTATAGCAGAGGTCCAGTTAGGGGGTGATAAAAAAAATTAACAATAAATAAGGATCTTAACGCTCATTTTCTTGTTTTCATCCTTGTACTAAGTTTCCATAAGATGTTAAAATGACAGTAAACTGGGTGAGGGGTATATGGAATTCTTTTTGCAACTTTTCTCTAAGTCTACAATTAGTTCAGAAAAAGTTAAAGAAAAAAAAGAATTAATAGCAAGAAAAAGACTCAGGAGTTACTGAGAGCTCATAATTCAGAGACTGATAAGAAAGAGCGAACTCCTCCATGCAGAAGACCATGAAACAACTGTTTTGCTTTATTGAGTTGCCTTGTGTGTTTAACTTTTTTTTAGGAGAAATGTCTTTCCCCCATTATGAGATAACACATTATCAGAAAAATAAAGTCAAGTATGATATTAAGCTAATGAGGGTGAGTACTCCATTCTAGTCACTGCCTAGGCACTGGAAACAAAGAGGTGAACAAACAGTTAGAGATTCCTGTCATCACTAAAGTTACCTGCTAGTGGGTGACTCTTAAATTGAGAAACGCCTTCACAGAGAATAAATAAATCAACAGATTTCTGAACAATGACAGAATCACTGTATATATGTGTGCCATGGGTGCATTTGGGCAGAGTAATATGTGGATCACGGTTTTGCAGATGGAATACTTCCAACCTACACTGAAACAATTACCCATCTGTTTGGGCCAATCATTTAACCTGCCTTAGCCTCAAACTTCAAATCTACAATACATATCAGAATTATTGTGAGGGTTAAACCAAATAATATATGTAGAGGTTTAGCACACAAATGACCACATGCTAAGCCTATGAGTACCAACTCTGCCTACATTTTAGAATCTAGCTTGAAAAATAGTCAAACTGGGATGCCTGGGTGGCTCAGTCGTTAAGCGTCTGCCTTCAGTTCAGGTCATGATCCCAGGGTCCTGGGATTGAGCCCCACACTGGGCTCCCTGCCAGGTGGGAAGCCTGCTTCTCCCTCCCCCACTCCACCTGCTTGTGTTCCCTCTCTCACTGTGTCTCTCTCTGTCAAATAAATAAATAAAATCTTTTAAAAAAATAGTCAAATCTTTGGGGTACCTTTCAAATCTATGGTGTGGCAATACGGGGATGCTGGTGGAGTATTTTTAAAACTCTTCTCAGGAAACTCTTAGGTAAAACCGTAGTTCAGAATGACCGTAGTGGGTACCAGACATTGATAAAATTTAACTTCACTCTTCTCCACAGAAACATTAATTTCTATTGTGATTACTTTGAAGAATTCTTCAGATTTGTTTATATATGAAGCATTTTTTAAAACTATTCAAACTGCATAAATGCCCATGGAGATTATTTCTCCTTAAATGGAAGTTGGGGTTATTTCCTGGGAAGTTTACTATGACCAGACTGATGATGATCCTAATGTCATTGATTACCATAACTTGATGTTATCTGATTGTCCTATCACATTACCAAACACTGAGGCAGGAGTAATGGGCCACATTTCCATCATTTCCATGCTCTGTGATTCAGGGTTTTTTTACACATGCAAAGATGATCATTATTTATTTTGCACACCTCAAAGTTCTGTGTAAGAATCAAATGACATGATATTAAGTAGAGATGAGTGACTAAGAAGGTATGTTTGGCATCATATTGTCTTGAACCAGGATACTTGTATTATTTTTTTTAATATTTTATTTATTTATTTATTATTTTTTTATTGGGGAGGGCGGGCAGGAGAGGGAGAGGGACAAGCAGACACCACACTGAGTGCAGAGCCCAACGTGGGGCTCGATCCCACCCATGACCCTGATCACGACCTGGGTCGAAATCAAGAGTTGGACACTCCACCGACTGAGCCACCCAGGCAACCCAGGGACACTTATATCCATCTTCAACTTCTATGAATCCTGTGCCCTTGTCCAAAGTAACAATACTTGTCTAAGCTTTGGTTTCCTAATCCATAAAGAGGAAAGTGACAGTAACTGTTACTTCCTAGGCTTGTTGAGATCATTAAAATATAGTAAGTTAGGGAAAAAGTAATGAAGAGTCATTGACTTTGCTATTTCTGAGAGCTTACTCTCACTGTTATTATATGTACATTACGTGTGTGTACGTGAGAGACCGAGTAACAGACTAGTCTTTTATCATTTTAAGTGGTGGTGGATGTCGTAGTTTATAGGTGTAGCTTTGCCTAATTATTTTCATAGCAGTGGATTTCCTTAAATTTGAGGGGAAAACACAAAAAGACATTCCCAAATGTAACAGTATGTTCATGTCCTTAATAAGAAAATAACTTAGAAAATACACACACACAACACCTCACTTTCTCAAACCATTTAGATCATCTCGTGTCAGTTTCATCTGTGGTATAAAATTGCTGTGGGCTCAAAAATAAAATGGGTTTTGATGTAGCAAGCACAAGGCCAGGCACTGGGCCCATCATCAGCACAAGTTTCTCAATGTTATTTGAATAGGTGGCATTCAGATGAATGCTGTATCTCTCAGACCATGCAAATCCCACACTCTTACCAAGATGAACTACTCTGCCGGGCGATGCAACATGGCTAAGGCAAGCTTTTACCCACATCCTCATCCATGATATTTCTGCCTGATGCCTGGCTTCCCGGGAAATTTGCATCCTTCAACTTTAGACATCTGGAAATGAAAAGGCAGCACTACTTCCCGTCAAGGGTAATATTTCTCCTAATAGTGATTCAAGACTGTTGATGCACCTGTAAACTGGAATAGATGTGTGTAGAGGTTTTGTGGATGCATTTGTCAAGTGATTACCCAGAGGGGGAAAAATGGAT